CTGTGTCCCGTGTGTGTGTGTCCTGTGTGTACCGTTTGTGTGTCCTTCGTCTGTGTCCCGTGTGTGTGTGTCCTGTGTGTACCGTTTGTGTGTCCTTCGTCTGTGTCCCGTGTGTGTGTGTCCTGTGTGTACCGTTTATGTGTCCTTCGTCTGTGTCCCGTGTGTGTGTGTCCCGTGTGTACCCTTTGTGTGTCCTGTGTGTGTCCCGTGTCCTGTCACACAGCCGTCGCGGCACCGGCACTGGCGTGCTTGTACGAAGCTGTGCTTCTGTACTTGGAGAGGTCAAAATCGCAGCCGGACGGATTTTGGGATGTCTGGGGCGAGAGCCGCTCGCACGACTCGGCTGATTGTCATGGTGGTGTTGAGCGGTTTCAGGAGGGAAGGAGTCTACGCTGAGCTCAGAATTAAAGGTCATCTCGCAGTTTCCTCGCCGTGTGACGGCAGCGACATCTCCTTCACCTCACTGCACCCGTGTAGCACTGTTCCTTCTGGTTTTCGTGTCATCCCGCTTCTCCTGAGCCCCTGCAGAATGTCAAACGCTCCGTTTCCTGTCTTAATCGGTGCGGCCTCCTCACACACTTAAGGTCTGACTCCTTAGAGTGTTTGCAGGCTGACTGGAGAGTTCTGTAAACTTGCTGGGAAGTAGATTGGCCTGTGCATGAGTCCACATGCAGAACTGTGTATTAAGTGCAAAGTCTTCTCAAAAAGAAACTCTTTAATTATGAGCACATACCAGAAAAGTGGAAAAATGCACATATGCACACACACACACAATGTCCCACGTGTGCCGTATATCAGGGACGAGCATAAGGAGTGGCTCCCAGTGCCACAGCAGCAGATGGGATGGCCAGCCACGGAGATGATCAGTTAAGGTTTAAAGGGACCACTGGAGGTCATCTCATCCAAGCTCCCTTCTTAAGCAGTATCGTCTAAAGCACATCGCTCAGGATTGTGTCCTGGCAGCTTTTGGATATCTCCAAAGTGAGGGAGACTCCACAACTTCTCTGGGCAGCCTTTTCCAGTTCTTGGTCACCTACACAGTAAAGAAGTTCTTCCTCATGCTCAGGTGGAGCTTCCTGTGCATCAGTTTCTGCCCATTGCCTCATGTCTTCGTGCTTGGCAGCACCAAGAAGAGCCTGGCTCCATCCTCTTGACACCCTTCCTTCAGACACTGATAGACATCGGTGAGGTCCACTCTCAGTTTTCTCCAGGCTAAATAGTCCCAGGTCCCTCAGCCCTTCCTCATATGAAAGATGCTTCAGTCCCCTAATCACCTTTGGACATGATAGAGTTTTTCCAAAATCATGAAGGCAATGACTGATGACAGTTACAGCTCAATTGCAAAACTGGCATCTGGATCCAGCTTGAAATTTTGCTAATTGAGAGACTAAAGGGATCGTGTGTATGAGGACCTGAGGATTGTGTCTCAATAACAATAAAATAACAATTCACAAAGACTCTGTCTTGATGAAGCAAGTACACTCTGTATCTCCTGTGTGGAGGTCAACTCAAGAAGAGATTGTTTCAAGACCTAGGTGGGACATACCTCCTGAAGTCTATCGGAAGATCAGCAAACTAACCTCCTGTCAAGTGCAGACTTAGAACAGATCCACAGCAAGAAAATTCCATCCTCTTACAACCTGGCTCCAAATAGTCCAGCTGAAGAGTTCACCTCACTTACCAGCCTTGAGACCAGCCAGTACCACACCGAAAAAGAACGAGCAAATTTGTCACTGATTTTGCAAACTCTTCTACTGTTCTTCCAAAGGAGCTTGCTGTTTGTGCAAGAACATACTTGCATTTCGATTTTAGCAGCCCATAGATGAGTAGGTTGGATGGTTCACAGACCTCAGGGCTGCTGGGAGACTATTTGCAGACTCACAACAAATCTGCAGTAGATCTTCGGCCTAAATAGTTCAATTATGCTATTGCAGTCAAGCGTATCTAACCAACCAACCGTCTTTAGGTAGAACTCTGTCTGACAGTTTGTATTTAAAATCTAGTAGAAAGCCCTAGAGATAACTTTAAATTTGACTTTACTGCTGGGGTACAGCTCCCCTGCAGCTGCAGCTCTGTGGCTGCCTCAGGGAGTGAATATTGCTGTGTCCCTCGCAGGGAAGCAGCCTTGGCAATGTAACCTGACGCAATGTTGTCAGGACTTTGACTTGGACCTAGTGCCTTGCTTGCTGTTTTTGTAGTACTCTGTAAAACACTGCTTGTGGGCAGAAAAGGCAATTATTGCCTAAGTTATGGATTCTGTCTCTCTTTGCTTGAATGTTTTTGCTTTGATAATACTCTGGGCTTAAAGCTTGCTTGCTGCCCTGTATTTGTAGGCAGAGAGCTATGGCACATACAAATATAGTAATTGCACAAGCTAATGATTTCTCATCTGACACACATTTTTGTAAACAGTCCTAATTTTGGGACCGCTTGACCAGCTCAAGTTAAGCAAAACTGGCAGGGAAGGATCCAAAAAGTTACTTGGTTCGTTTGTGCAGCACCCCTGATCTGGCTGCCTGCTCAGAACTGAAGGCTTTTGCATGTCTCCTGTCAGGTCAGCCAAGGAAGACTCTGATGATGCACGATAAAGGAAGCAGCAGAGTCCTGACCTTGGCCCAGGCCCTTTGCCATGGGGTTGCAATACTCTGAGAAGAAGCCCTGGGAATGAAGCCACATGGGAATACCATTGATGGTCCAATTGGCATTGGATGCTACCCCAGGCTATTCGGTCCTACCCTTGATTGGAATAGGGACAAAAAAGTCTCAGAAAAGGATGGAATCTCATTAATTAAAATAAAACACTGAAGACCTTTACTTTTGCCCCATAAGTACCCAGGGTTTTCAGGAATGCTCCATGCTCTGTACTGGGAATAGCAGGGTGTGTCTATAACGTTGCATAAACAAGCACTAGTGGTGAATCCTATGGCATAAAGCCAAGTGATGTGGCACACAATGTTCAGAGCTTGCCTTGTAATATCCAGGTGCCTTGGAGAGAACTACCCAGAGCAGTACCGAAACCAAAGCCAGGGAGAGAGCTAATTGCTAAGCAACATGAATGGTGTGGGAGCTGATACTGCTCAGCTTAGTCCCTGCTCCTTATTGATGTAGCAGAGTCAAATATACCAATGTGTCTGAATAAAAACATAGGCTGACAAATATATGAGCCTCATTAGACTAGGACAGCAATGAGGTCCCGGGCTCCACGCCTTCTGTCACAGAAGGGAGCGATGTGATAGCATCTCACTGCATTGAGACTCTGTTCCTGTTGCTCATGTACCTATTTGCAGCTGGGTTAACA